GTTGATTTATCCCGTTTAAATTATTTTTCTTTCATGTTGATGAAATTTTATACTTATGAAAGTTAAAGATATGATATGATATGATATTCTATGATATGATGATATGGTCATTCCGGTACAAATGATATGATATGAGCTCTTATCGGTTCCCAAAGATATAATGACGATGGTATAATTTTTCTTCACGCATGATTTAAATATTTTTTCAAGGATTGCACCATATTTTTATGCCTTACTGATTATTCTCATATACTCACCCATTTCCCTATTCCACACAGGTTAGAACGGGTCGTTGGTTGGCGAGCGACGAAGTGTAGTCATTGTGCCGACATTTGGAATTAATAAATCGAATCCGGTGTCACGTGCCTTAAATTCTAAATTTTACCAGTAACCTTTGTTTTTTAATTTTTTTTTTTAAATCGTTCATTTTATTTGAAATCTGGAACAAATTTATTTGGACATTTAATTTCGTATGATGACTTGGAAATTCTAACTTGTTTATGGTATTTAGTGTTTATCTTGCTATTTACATTTTTTGCATAAATAAATACGTCAAATTGGAGAGTTAAACATAAAGCAGCTTTGAGATTTGATTTACAAATTGTCATACATGTCTAATAAATGTAATGTACTATAATGATTTAAAAATGGGTGAACCTTGAAACATGTCCCACTCACCGAAGAAAGAGAAAATATATCATGCCTTGAAATTTGAGGTTTCTAGTGATATGAGAAAAAAAATGGATGTCAAATAAGGGCATATAAAGACAAATAGTAATTATTATATACGTGTAATATGATTTTGCTTCTAATTCTTAATTTGCAGATTAATTCTATGTGATCATTCCAAATGTATACGTTTAAGATATGTCGAAGGGAAATATTTTGATTTCCTTTTTGTAATTAATATACAAATATTTTCTACAAATTTTGAGTGAATTACCATTTCATAATTATATATAATATTGCATATCCTTTTTTGGTAGCAATTCAAACCTTTAAAATTTGGGTTGTTACTGAAGGAACAAACCTCCATTATTTTGGTAGAGATAAAACATTTTAGACTTTGATTGGCTCTTTTTCGTTTTGTCGAACATTTTCTCCTTCTTGAAGTTCATCTTGTGGATTTTCCTTGTATTAATCTTGAATAGTCATTTGTTCGAATGAAGTTTCCAACCCTACATCAATATGAATACCTTTATCACGATCAAGAGAGTTAGTTTCATCGAAAGTGGCATGCATGAATTCTTCAACAACTAGAGTTCTTTTTTTGAAAACCCTATAATTTAGTGTCAACCACACTGAACCATATTCCTGGGTTCGCACCTGCCCACAAGCCATTGGTGCCACCACCACTTGATCGTGAACTAGCTCACCCCAAAACAATAAACTAAAAAACCATTAATCATGAACTAGCTCACCTTGAAATTGAATCATGAACAAGATCTAAAAATAATAAAATTGTGGAATCAATTATAGCATTTTTATGACAAACTGAATTGATATATCTTGAAAATATTTCCTTTTCCTAAAGAATTGGTCTGGTATTTCAATTTTTTTTTTTGGGATGAAATTGTTCAACGACGAGGGTTGGGTTTTGTGCGTAAATTTATGGAAGAACCAAATTTCTCAGTTTTCTCCAGTTGTTATTTCTAGCGGGTTGTGATTGGTGTGAATTAATTTCAGTAAGAAAAATCGTATTTCAATTCTGAGAAATATGCAGTATTTTTCAATTTTGAGAGAGGGGGGGCCATATATGGAATAATTTTGCCAAGTTAAAGTCCACAATTAAACGCATTAGTATTTGAACTTGATGAAGTTAAAGTCCACAATTAATTGGCATTTCTAAGTGAAGTTTTCAACAGTTCATACGGAGCGATACATCCAAATCTTCATTTGACATTATAATTAACACAAACATACCGTTTATTGAATATAAAGAGTAGAAGTTACAACTTGGCTTTCTAAGCCAACAACAAAAGGAAATCGAGGGGAAACACATGCATGCATGCATTATTAAACACAGTAACTCAAATGAAACACCATCACACTAATAATTTTATGTTTATCTGCTTCTTAGCCTTTTCACAGAAGCATTTTCTCCTTCATTTGCTTGAGCTTGTATCTTCAACAAATTAGGCTTCTCGTCCAATAAATTCATAAACCATATAGCAGACATTTTCGGGATTCTTGACAACCGTCCATTCACAAAATCCACATAAAAAATGCCAAATCTGACGGTGTATGCTGAGCTCCATTCAAAATTGTCGAACATTGCCCATATATAGTAAGCCTTCACATCTACACCTTCTCTGAGAAAGAAAAACCGTGAACATTAAATATTTCGTAGCAAGATAGTCAAATTATTTCATAATTTACAATTTGCTTTGAGAACAGATATATAATTATATGAATGATGTCTTACTCCATTGCTAGCTTAATATAGTAGAGATGTTCTTGATGATATGTAATCCTCTTCTCATCAAACCGAGCTTCTGAAACTGTTAGGGCTGTATTGTTAACTTCATCCACCCCTAAACAAGCAAGTCATCGAATAAATTTCAATAAAATGGTAAACATTACAAAACAATTCTTTTCTTACTATAAGGGGGAAAAAAAGAAGCTAACCAACATGCCATGTATTTACCATTCTCAGTAATATAAATGCTGGGATTGTCATATTTTTCCTTTATATAAGTCAACAGCTTGTAAATCCCAATTGGAACAATGTATAGCCAATCTGAACCGGCCTAAAATCAACAAAAAAATGATAATATTCTGTAAGCATTAGAAATAAAACTACGGTAATTTAATCCATTTTGCCAATAATGACACGATAATCCACCCCCATCTCGTATGAAAATATGTTATAAAAAAATCATTAAAATTATCTACTCCGTTTTCCATTTATTTCTAAGAAAAACCAAGCTAAAAAGTATACCTGTGGACCAATAGGTATCCCATCACGATCACCTACAAATCATTGAGGGAGTAAGCATTGTGTGATGAGCTTAATTTATTTATACACGAAAATGTTTGATATACTTACCTGATAATGTCACTTGTTGATCAGTTTCGTAACTTGGTTGAGCACCAGGAGACGGAGGTGGCGCACTGGTAGCGTAATTAGCAGTGTAATAATTTACGCCTAGAAAGTCATAGGATCCTTTCACCAACTTAATTTGATATTTCTTAAATTGGGGAAGACGTGTGCCCACATTTTCCCTCATAGCTGGTGGATAATCACCGGTTACTATTGGTGCTACAAACCTAAAAGGGAGGACCAATTTTAAAACTAATTCTTCAATATACAAGACTAAAATCCTACACAATTAATAACATTTCTAAAAAATGAGACATATCTTATAGAATACAGAAGTGCCAAAAACAAATTGGTGGAGAAGAAGCATGTATTTAAATCCAAACTATAATTTTGGATATAAATTTACTCTTAAGAAATCATAGCAGTTCAAGTTGTGCAAAATCGTAGGTATAATACCAATAGGGGTTGTTCAATTTGGGACAAAACTCCATGAATTTTATTCAATGTTCAAAAATAACAAAAAGAAAGCAATCACTTGAACTTAAATAGGAAAATCTAGGAAAGAAAAGCCTAACCTAATAAAAGACCTAATTACCCCTAGATAATTAAATTGCATGCCAATATAAATTAATATTATCCCAAACAACAAAATAAGAAAGAATATAGGCCACAAATTAATTACCATCCGAACATAAAATCAATGGCCCTTGAAGCAGCGTCTATATCTTCTTTGGTGTCTGTAAGTGGTTCAAACCACTGTGAAACATTTGTCATTCCTATCTTGCCTCCTTGATGTGCCTGCACACATGCGTTTGTATAACATATATATTATGAAATCTCAGAATTGTGTATAAATTTTCTTGCCCCGAAGTTAATGTGTGCGAAGAATGTTACCTGATATCTTTGTCTGTATATATCAACTGCTGCTGCATGAGAAAGGATCAGATGATGTGCCACAGTATATGGTTCTGTACCCGGATCTCCAGCTGTAGAAATAGATCGAGCTCCTCGTCTATATCTATGACGAGGAATAGATGTTACAGGCGTCGTTGTTGTTGCACCTCGAGCGGGTGGCCAAGTGCCCAACACATATCCTTGAACAGTATAGGACCACGGCTCATTCAATGTGACCCAATGTTTCACCCGGTCACCAAATTCCCAAAAGCAAAGCTCAGCAAATTCACAGTAATCTCTCCTGTTTATCAAAAAAGAACATATATTCATATGGTTTACCATGTTTCTTTTTAATAATTTTTTGAGCAGGTGCTTGACTTCACTTCCTTTGAATTTGCTTTGTTTTCATTTAAGGCCCTGTTTGAGAGAGATTAAATTTTTGTACAGTAAATCAATTCTCATTTTCAACCACACATTTTTCAATAAAATAATATTTTCCATCACATCAATAATTTTTTCTTCTTTTTCAACCACACATTTCCCATCATATCACTATTCAAAATCAATTCTTTCTCCAAAAATCTCTCCCAAATAGGCTCTAAATATGCTTTTGCAAATACCGAAAGAAAATGTGCTTTTTTATGCAAGATTCAATTACTTACACTATTCGAGGACTTAGAAATCCACCATACTGATCTTCCAAACATTGTGGAGTATCCCAGTGAAAGATAGTTGCACATGGTTTAATGCCTACAGAAAAGTAAATATAAAATTCCAAAATGTAAGTTTTTTATCATTTTAAAAAGAAACAAATATCAATTGTTAAAAAAGAATATAAAGAAACAATTGTATTGGAGTCTAATTAACCTTCGGCCACGAGCAAATCTATGAGATCATTGTAGTACTTAATTCCGTCTCTATTTATTCCCGCGGATAATCTTCCTCCTAAAATATCAATAAAGAAAAACAAAATTAAATAAAACTTCATCAGGTTTTGTTTTGACAAAATGATGCACAAAGTAATTCATATTCTTCACGTTCTTTTGTGTGTGTGTGTGTATATATACCTGGGAGTACTCTAGTCCATGAAATTGAAAATCTGTAAGAATTGAAGCCCACTTTTTTTAACAAAGCTACATCTTCCTGTAAAATGAGTAGAAATTATTCCACTAAGACAACGGATTATTTTTCTCAATTGTCTTTAAAATATTCCTCAAATTAAATTTTATGAATTACCTTCCATAAATTATATTGATCAATAGCAACACACCCATTACTTCCATTTTCAATATAACCTGCCACTCAAATAAATACTCTTAGCAATTATCATGTAACAAGCACAAATACATGCACTAATCATGTTTGTGTGTGTGTGTATATATTTATTTATTTATTTATTTATTTATACCAGGTGCTCTCTGTGTGAAGACATCCCAGTTGCTCAAGCCTTTACCACCTGCTGCCCAAGCACCTTCAACCTGTAATGCAGCAAAAAGAAAAGAATCAAAACCCAAGCAAATCGTGTTTTTTTCCCTCCTTTTTGAGTGGATAAGGTAAAAGTACAATATTATATTTCAAGAATTATAATAAATCTAAAAATCGCTCTTTTAACGATGTAAAAAAAATTTAAAAAACATTAATATAAAGTCTTTATGACATTTAAATGAATTAATGATAACCAAGATATTTTGTTTACGAACATTACCTGATAAGCAGATACTCCAGAACCAAAGATAAAATCTGAAGGGAAATCAGAGCGCTTGATCTTCATCTGGGTAAATATGCTTGCATCACTACCAAAGGGATAATCCAGTACATCGGCGCCATCAGTCATCAAGCTGCTTTGGCTATCCATATATACTACAAAATGTAAAGGGAACTTAGCTAGTATAACTTGATAAAGGTAACTACATCACTTATTTATAGGGGATTGTGGGTGCATCACGTGACAACATTTCTTGGAGTTCTTTTAGATTTTAAAACTTAATTAATTACGTTAATCCAAACCGTACCATGAGCCATGATGTCCATTTTTGGTTTTACAAAACTAATGATTTCATCTAATTCATAATTTTATTTTACAATGATTTCTACAAAAAGGTTGCTTATATCTTTATGACTTTTAGCCTCTATTTATCTACCATTATTTCAAAAAATTGTTTGCTACAGTAAAATTCTCCACCACACATTTACTCAGTAAAATATTTTATACACAAACCAATAAATTTACTTTAAATTTCAACCACACATTCTCCAAAAAATAATATTCATTACTCTATTTTTCTCCCAATAATGGAAGACAAACACACCCTTAATCATCAAAATATTTTTAAAAATGCAATTGTAGATGCTATGAACAAAGAACAATTCCAAGAAGACAAGTAATTAGCATATACTAAATCAACAAATATATTTTAAATGAGTATTGGATATATTTATATGCAGTTAAAAGCCGCCAGCAGCTTCTGTCATGTCATGGCCTATGGATTAAGTGCTGTATTTCCCATAAGATTAAAAAATGAGAATAAAATGTAATGCTAATTGTATTGCTTGGTACAATCAAAGGAGGATATAGTGGGAGCTGGCCTAAGCAGGTCCAATATATATATAATTATTTTACACCCAATTCAAAACAAGGGACGATGCACGCCAGATATGCATCTGTCGACTTCGTCTGTACAAATAGAATAATTGATTCCATGTAAGAATAAGGGACAACTTTGATGTAATTGTCATGACAACCTTGCACTAAAATAATCTCATTTTAGGAAGAATGGCACGATCATCCTACTAATTTAGTCTTGTCCTAAATTAATTTATAATCCAATAGTTTTTACAAAATGATTATTG